TATAGAATAATAAATTATCTATTATTTCATAGTTTTTTGCTCTATTTCTTATCGCATCGATATCTGTATGCTCAAAGCTTTCGGGGTCTTTCAAATAAGCATAGATATTTCCAAATTCAGGATCAGCTTTCAGTTCAGTAATAACCGTATCTCTAGAATCTAAAATTTTTGAAGTCAAACACAGCGCATTTAAGTTCATTTCCTTCATCGTCCAGTTTTATACGAGAAAGTGCGTCAGCTACATTGTTTTCCTTACCCGGTTTATATTTTATTGTGATATTATATTCTTGGAGTTTTAAAGCCCATCTTATTAACCTGGGCGTTAGGTTTTTTTCCCGAGTAAAGTCTACCAACAGCCGCATGATCCGAAAAGACTGTTACTGGCGATTTGCCGAAATAAACTCGAAATTTGTGTACAGCCATTAATACGGCTAATGTTTCTCTTTCTGTAGCTGTATAATTCCTTTGTGTCTGATTCAATGTTTTACTAAAAAATGCCAGCGGATGGTTATTTTGCATAAGAACCGCACCCACCGCATAGTCTGACGCATCTGCTGCAATTTCCAGGTTTTCGTCCCCCTCAGGGAATTTTAAAACAGGGGCATTAATAAGCGCTTCTTTTAATCTTTCAAAGTGCTGATTTTATAGCACTTATTCAGGCACAGGGATGAAAGATCCCTTCTAAATACCCACCGAATTTTTTCCGTCGAAAGACGTTTGGCTTGATTGATGCTCTCAAAGTCTGGACCAGGTATCCAAATCCTTCTAACTGAGTTGTCATTTCTTGGTGTTGTCCAGCGGCTTCCATCCAGTTTTCGGCCATTTCAGTTCGATAAGTGTTCGGGCGCCAATATAACGTTGCGCGCCTCCTAACTTGCACGCAACCAAGAGGTGACTGTGAAAGCTTGTATAAAAGACAGAGTCTTGTGAAGGGTTTAAGTCCCTTTTTATTCAACGTAATAAATTACAATTGCGTCCTCTTGACGCTTACAGACTGTGCCAACTTGGCAGTCAAATAAAAATAATAACCTGAAAAGAAAGTAAAGACAAGATTCTAACTACGAGGCTCTCTAAAATAACTAACTCACCGCGTTTTACAATACTGCTGCTAATTCAGCAGACTTGAAGCTCACTGGAACAATTACCACTACTTCCCGCCAAGCACATAGGCCGCAACGCGGGGTTCTTCAATTCTCGCTAACTACCTCCGCGCTCGCTAAGTAAGAATATCACACCGAACTCGTTTCCTTCTATTTAAATCATAATACTTCGTGAATCGAACCGTGAATTAGTGAAATCGAACTTTTTATTTGTAATTAGAATTTCAAAGAATGCAAGAGGCTTGAGATATTTAGTTGCAATGCGAACTGAATAATTGAATTAAACATATTCAAATTAACACGATGTTTGATGAATCCTCTGTATTTTCAAGTAATTTATATGCATAAAAAATTCAGAAATAAACACCTAAGAAAATTAGAAAGTTTTCACTTGGAATAATAGCTTGTAAACAATTTTGTAATAAGAGTAATTAGTAAAGATTATTTCTCACATGGCATATTATACAGATTCTTTAGAATCCATATAATATTTTGTTACTCAGAGAACCAATCCATAGTTTATCCTATTTAGCCCCAAGATCTCATCATACGCTTCACTAAACTCAATGTAACTGAAGTGTAAAATATCGAAGAATTTCCTTTTTTCTTTAATTTAAAATTAAAAGTTTTTTAGCAAGTCTTTCTTAAATGTTAAAAAATGTAATTAAGCTAAACGTGTCTTCCTTGTATGAAAAGAAAGTAATTAAGTTTACATTACTTCCTTGAAATCAATGTTATTCCTTTATTTTTGTAATTTTTAAAATCTTTTATACAAAATTAATAAGTTTCTCCTAAGTTCTTTAAGCGCAAATAAGTTTTATTTTTTCTACTTGTAAGCTGTGTAAAATTATTTATGAAGGTTTCATTCATGTTTAAATTATAAGAGAAGTATTTTATAAGGAAAAGTTTTAGACATTGCTACTCTTTATGAAGAAATCAAGGAAAACAAAAAAATGAATAATTAAAATCCATAAATTAATGTTTTGAATAAAATGTAACCTTTCTAAAATGTCAGCAATTTCATATTCAGAATTACACTCTCTCCTTTTACAAACTATAATTATGTTTACCTGCACGATTTGCTGTGAAGTTTGAAATTAAATTAACAGTGTGTTTTAGGAAAACTAAATTAGGAAATATGTGTCCACAGTAAACAAAAATACGTTGCCATTCGCATCTTCTGAAAAATAATTCGAGAGTTCTCCGCTGAACTCGTTTCGACGGGGAGCATGATTAAATTCTATACAAGCATGGAAAGCGAGTTTCACTAGTTTGGGAACAATGAATTTGATTGCTTCAAATAAGTGAAATTAAGTTAATTGAAGTTCAGGCATATTTTGACGAGAGTTATAGAATTTGGCGATTAACTTTTATGATCGGAAATTACTTATTCGTAAATGAAAACTGCCATTAGTACGGAGGCATATCGTTTCAATTCTTTAACAGACGTTACTGTCGTTAGTGTCCGTCGTAATCATTTTCACTGAATTTCTCTTCGAAGATGATGTGATTAAATTGTTTCTAATTTCGGTTTGCTTGGCAAAGACGCAATTTCTGATCATTTGAACCGTGCCCGTAAGAGAAGTGTTCCTTGGAAATATTTATGTTTAGATAGGTAAATGAATCTTTATTCTTTGTGCACTAATATGGATGTAGCATTTTGTAGAAAATCTAACCGAGGTGCGTGGTACATATTATAACATATAAAGATTCGAAGTCATTATGAGATGTACATAATAATTAGAAAATGCTAGGAATAATTGCTTAATTATTTTATAATAAGAGTTTTTTTTTTTTTTGTATAATAAGAGTCTAAAATTTTCTTTCTTCATAAAAAATGCTGATTCTAAATGCTGCTATATTATAAAGATACATTTTTTTTTATTTTACAGTGGCAATACGTTGTTCAAATAGTTTTTAATGCTTTCACGTAAAACTTTGTATAGTTAGATCGTAAATTTTATTTTTAGGTATTTTTATTCTCAGATATTTTGAATTTATTTGCATATTAAGGAATATCCAAATGAACAATCAAGGTTTCTTAAACTAGCGACAAAAGAATATAAAACAGATGAATGTAAAATAAGGCAACAAAGCTGCTGAATTATTTTGGACAGTGATGGCGATTCAATATTCAACTTTCTAGACTTTTTCAACTGAACAATAAATAATAAAGAATACATAACTAGAATCCACATTCAGGACAATAATTTGTTTGCACCCGATTCCACCTGAATCAAACATATGTCCTCTCTCGATTTCACCAGGAGGGATTGTGCTTCCAGTTGAAGGCGTTCGTTTTCGAAATACACGGTTCCCAACTTTGGCAAAGATACAGTCCAAACCTTGCTTAATGTAATACAGATGATGAAATAAGCAGCAGAGAAGATATGAAACTTGAAATGCATATGCATACGAATATGAGGATTTTTCTGAGAATCCCAAGTGAAAACATAAGCAATCATCTTGGGGCACGTGACTTAGCACAATACTCTGCTGCGAAAAAGTGTTAATTACACTCTTCATTAACTGAAATGTATATACACTGAATTTTAGTCACTTTCACAAAGTTTTCTATAGTGTAGACTGAGGAGTTTGATGTTCAGGCTTTGAGAACTTACCCTTGATATTGATTCATTAGAATATATTTGAAAATTTCTCCGGTTTCTTCAGATAAGTGAAATCTTGCAGAAGTTCAATACAAATTTTGATCAGGTTGAAGTACAAAACGCAGAATTTAGAAGCACAAAACTCCTGCCTTTTTTAACTTTCGATGTGACTAGCTTGTACATTCAGTCAAATGGCATAAATGATCACTTACTACAGTAAACAAAATCCCAAGTGAAAATTTCATATCTGAAAGAATATGCTCTTTATGTATCATCGCAATATCATTCACTGTCCTTTTTTAAAACAGAAATTTGAAATGTTTTACTTCTTTTGTAAAAATCTTATACTAGTTTAAAACTAGAAGCGCGAAGCTTTCTCCCTAACTAGAAGCTCCAACGGCAGTCAAATTGACTGCTCAACGAATTAATGTATATATTCAAATGTAAATGCTTTATAATGCTTTTAAGAATATTAATTACAGTTGTTGAAGAACTTTAAAGAATAACAGATTATGTTAATAAAAAATAGAGGATATTTTATTATAAATTTCAGCCTACCCTTAATAAAACACATTTTACAGCTTTTCGCAATTTTTACAAAACACAACTTTTTCAATTTTGGAAGTGCATTTTCCACACGCATAATATGAACATTTTTTACACACATCACTTGTTTTGTTGTTGTTACAAAGTCCAATCTGGCATTGATGTATTTTCTTCGAGAGTCTTTTGCTAGATTTGGAAATTTCCTGGGGCAATTTTGAGGTTTTTCTTCTGTTTAAATAAAGCACTGTTAATTCCTCTGATAATTGAAATAGGAAGTCGTGCCTTGTAATATTTTTATCACTCAATTTATGGTAGATAATGTAGGCATTCGTACCTGCTAAATCCAGCATATTATAGAAAACATGCACAGGCCTTCTACGTAAAGTAGCCCGAACAGAATATTTACGTGTCATCTTGTCAATGATATCAACTCCACATTTGGTTTTGTTGTAGAACTCTACTGTTTCTGGAAGCTTTTTCTTATTTGAGTCTATATTTACACTTTGGATGTAAGGTACTTAGTAGTAGGACATTTTTATTCCTTTTTCCCTGATAGACAGTGAGCGTAGTTTCACCATTCTTTAGCAAAACTGTTTTCAAATAGCCGGGTTTTTGATTTCCTTACTTCATGCGGAATTTCTTGTCGATGTCTTCTTACTGTGCCGACAAAACTTGTGTTTTTCATTTTAAGTCTTCTAGCTAATGATAGTGAGGAAAAATAATTGTCCGTTGTCAAATTTCGACCTTAATTCGGATAATGGCTTAGAAGACGCATTTCAGGAAGACTTTCAGTTTCACTTCTCGATGCATTTTTTCCAAGATATGGAAAAGCATTGCACATATACTTCGAGTCTACATCGACTAACATCCAAAATTTGATACCGAATTTATCAGGTTTATTCGGCATATACTGTATAAATTTACACCTGGCTTTGGATTTAAATAACTGCTCATCCACAACTAGATTTTCTCCTGGTTTATAGGAATTCTCACAGTTCTGTATAAATTTATTCCAAATATCGAAAAAAAGTGCAAACTTATCATTTTCTAAACGCTGAGTCCTAGTTGACTTCAATTCAAATCTTAGATATTTCATAATGTCTCGAAAACGATTGCGAGACATTGTTTCTCGGAAAAAAGGAGGACCCCATGTATTATTCCACAAAAAATCATAATCCATACCATTGCAACCGTATGCTCCTCTTGCATAAATAATAGCAATGAAAGCATCAAGCTCTTCTAAAGATATTGCCCAGTTTTCTTCATTGTTCAAAATTCCTTCTGCTTCCTTGCACTTTTTAATATGTCGTAACATCGATTCATCCCCAAACAACCTCATTTCTCGGGATTTTTTTCCACACTGTCATTTCTAAAAATGTAGTTCTTAAGAGAACTTACTTTATGCACTTTCCAAAAGCCCGCTTCTTTGTGTTATGTCTTCTTTAAATTTAACAGTAACATTATGCAAAACGAAATGTTGGGGACAACACATTGTCCCCAACATTTCGTTTTGCATAAGATGTTGGACCCGGCATTTCTTTTAGCACATTTTGAGCTCCATATTTCCCAGCTGTAGTTGTTGAAGTACATGTCACAGTCCACTAGGTTCCATCTTTTGAGACATATATAGAGCCTTCTTCGTGGTTTTGGAAAAGACATCCTCTTCCTCGTGCGTACCCTGAGTTAGGTAAATCATGTTTTCGCTTTGATCCTATACCTTGTGCTTTAGGGGAACATAAAAAAATAATATATGTATATTTTTTTACAATAAATGACTCATCACATTTTAAAAAATTAGAGTACATCAGAAATTGTCAAAACAAAAAAATAAATACATAAACATAAATATTTCTTACCTGTTTCAGTTGATGTGGATGCTGCACTTACTGATGACGAAATATTTACTGCGTAAATATCGATGGGCTGAAAACCTTGGCCCAACGATTGCTCTTCCGTGCTATCTTCAGTTTCACTAGAACTAGTATTTCTCTCAAAATTTTGTGGAGGCTCATAATCCATATCATCATCAATATTATGTTCTTCAACATCAGATTCATTTTCAGATAAATCCTGTAAAAGTTGTACAATTTCTTCTGGACTCAGATATCCCGGTCTTCGAGCTTCCATTACCGTGAGCTTGAAAGAATGAAATGTCATGAAACAAACTGACTGAACTACTGCAAACTAAGGACTATACCATTTCGCCAAAAAGGGGTGGACTGTTGACAAGGAGGTGAGGAAGTATTTGATGTTGTAAATAAAGAGAGAGTGAAAAGGAATGTGTAGGCCAGATGTTTTTTCAACAAAAGGGATTTTTCTGAGCGGAACGGAAGTATATCATTTTGTAAATAATCAGTGAATGAAAGGAATCTATATGTACGCCAGATGTTTTTCCAAGAAAAATATTTTCTGAGCGAGAATACCATTTAATCTACACAGTATTACTAGCAGTCATTATGACTGTTCATGCCGCTTTTAGGTTGTGGTAACGTGTGGCCCCAACTTGTCAGCAACTGTGGTAGTGACTGCTACGAAATGTAAATTTACACAAACACGTAAGAAGGATTTAAAGCCATTTTTATTCCACTTTAAAAAGAACACCTGCGTTCACTTGACGCTCACAAACTACGCCGACCCGGCGGTTTAACAGAAACAGAAATGTGAAACTAAAAAATAATGACTGGATGAATAAATAGCTAGATCACTACCTACGAGGCTCTGAGATCTTAAAAAACCTAACCACGTTCTAAAATACAGCTGAGATTCAGCGAGCTTACTAATTAAGCAGTTGAAAGATTCAGCAAACTGCCGAGATAGGCACACAGACCGAAACGCGCGGTTCTTAAATTTCTACCTAGCAACCTTCACGTCCGCGATTCAAGAATCACACTTACAATCTCGTTTCCCTTCTATTTAAACTCAACTTACTTCTGCTAAATTTGAATATACTGCGCGCTCTACTACAATTTACATACTCTAGCATTGGCAATTCTAGGGGAAAGTAAAGGCTTGACAAGAAAGATAGCTTAAACTTAAAATAAATGTTAGTTCAAATAAATATAAATCCTGCAAGGTATAACTAATAATATCTCCATTAATTTTAATGTCATTCGATTTATATTTGGTACCAATAATGTTCGACATATTTTAGGAAAATACCAAAATTTGTGACTTCTTAAGATAAAGGGTTTTTAAGGAATTCAAGGTCAAATGACGAAAGCAGTCAAAATGACTGCTCTGGCGCTTCTAGTGTTAAAGATAAATACTGCAAAGTTCACCTTTAAACAAAAGTTCCATTTTTATGTTCATTTCTCGGGATTTTTTTCCACACTGTCATTTCTAGAAATGTAGTTCTTAAGAGAACTTACTTTATGCACTTTCCAAAAGCCCGCTTCTTTGTGTTATGTCTTCTTTAAATTTAACAGTAACATTGTTTGAATCTTGTTTATGACGTTCAAAATTCCGTTTACATATTCTGAATTCGAAACTCCAGCACGTGGCACTTGAATCACGTTTCTTTTACAGGCAGGAACCTTCAGGGGGCGAGAACTCGCTCATTGTAAAAGGGGAGAAATGTTCCCTTTCAAATCTCAATAGAAACTCCCCTCCTTTCTTCCAAGTCACTCCTTCGAAATGCGGTCAAGATTCATTCAGATCTCTCTGGGATTTGACTCTCTGACTTCCTGTAAGATAAGATACCAGAATTTTGTTGAGGGAGTGGCTATAGGAAATTTCCGTGCCATCTGTTCCTACAATGCCCCCGTTTATTCTGTTGTGCATGGGTCTTGGATTGTCATTTGCTGCAACGTATTATCAGATCTGAATTTTATATTCTCCTGCCTTCATTTCGGTGTTGTTCATTTGTAGAATTTGCTAAAAGAAATATACTATTTGCATGTAGCTAACCCTGCACCGGCAGAATAATGGTCAAAGAGAAGCAATACTTTTTTCCAGAAAGAAAGAGTTGACATAGCAAACATAGAGTAAAATATCATGTTTCGGCATAATTTGACAGCTCTGTATAGCTTTAGATGCTATTAATTTTATAAAACATTGTTATTGAAACATGGAATTTCATAATTACATTGAGATAATTTTTGGTCAGAACTATATAAAAAACAGTTGAAAAAATCAGCCAATGCAATTTCAATTCCTGAAGGTAGAAGTTATACTCATCAAGACACAGTGAATAAAAAGGAACTTGTGCACATCTGCCAAATTAATCACATTCAGAACTGCTCTGTATTCCAAAATTACTTAATATTCAATCTTACACTGAAGTTGAACTTACAGAATAGTACTATGCATTTTGAAAAAATATGTTATGATTTTTCCTTCTCAAAAAGAAAATTTCAGCTTGGGTTCCTGGATTTTATGTTTTAACAGGATAAGCATTCAAAATACAGCTTTATCAGCAAAAGTTAGTGATGGGAGAATTTTATACACTAACCTTACTTGAAGGGGGAAATGTTTTTTGCACGTGTTTTTACTCTGTAAGTATACTGGTGTTTATACTTAAAATGCCAAATGTTCATTTGAATACGGAAAACATACGAGAGTTATCAGGTATCAGAAACAATGAAACGCCTTGGCTGCTGTCAGAGTGGGGCAGCGCGCGCAGTAATGGTAGGCAGTTAAAAGTTGTTTTAGCAATTTGTGCAATAAAATTTGTAACATAAAAGAGAAGTTGTAAAGAAATTTCTTCTTCATTATCGATTTGCCTTTTTAGTGTAATTGACAACCCGTGTGAGTAGCACTTAGCATGTCCGGAGTTAGCAACCGATATGATGCCGTATTTGACCTGAAAATTCCCCTTTTGTCAATAAAGGCCTAATATTAAATGAACTTGTGATATATAAAGCAGTGCCACACATCTTAATAAGTCTTTAACTTCAAAATCCATTACATTATTCCCAGCTATTTTAAGAGCATTCGCATTGATTCTGATATTACGCTTTGAAGCAGATAAACATTCGTTGAAACATTCGTTAACAGTCGTTTTGCTACAAAAAATCCATTTAAAGAATGTTGTATTTAAACCATACTATCTAAACTATACTATACAGTTGTTCCGCGATAAAAATGGACATTGAAAAGAATTTCTTTCATCAAAAAGATTAAGATCCACTGCTTTAAGTTCCGCTATGAGGCGAAATTTGTTACTTGACCAGCGCTAAATTTACATATGTTTTCAATATACAGAATCTGAGGGTGATTACCTAACAGAACGTCTGAATTTATGAATGAAGGCCATACCTTCATATTGTAAATGGATAAAAGAGGAAGAATGTTTCATAGTTTACCTGATCAGGTGTTCGTAGATATTCGTGAACATGATCCACCTAAAAAGAGCTTAAAGTAGTAATCTTAATCATTCTTTTCAGGAATTTGTTGAACAGTTTAATGTATTGGAAATTTAGTGATTCAAAACTTTTAAGTGTTGGCCGAAATAAATTAAATATAGGACCTTAGATAATGGTTTAGATTTATCTCAAGCTATGCTTTGCGGAAGTTAAATAACTTGTGACCAATAAATTCAGAAAATGAAGACATTGAGCCACTATAACGACTTCAGGCGACTCTATGCATATATTAAACAATTCAATTAATAATAGATATGAAATGCTTACGCAGTTTCATTATTAATGAAAGATAGTTAAAGTCCAAAATGTCAAATTGTAGAAAATGTAAATATATGTGTAATTAGAAATTAATCTTAAACCCAATCTCTAGAGAAATGAAGCTATTAAATAAAGAGAGCACAGTTTTAAATGTGCGTACATGTATATTTTGTATTTCTTTTCAAATAAACATTGCGTCTTATAAGCTTGTTCCTTATCTCTATATATGAGGTGTTTGCTAATAACGAATTATTCAAGCCATCTAGAGAAAGACCTGCTTGAAGAATATTTCTGTTGTTACCGATCTGAATTAAAAATTAGTGTTAAAAAAGGCATACCGTAACCATTTTCTCGGAAACCTGACATTTGTTTTGCGCACCAGATGTGGTAACGTCTGCACCTGAAGAAGTTTTAATACACTTCTCTCTATCGAATTTACGATGTTTTTTAAAGTATAATGGAAACATCTAGGATTCTGTACTTCATTTCGTATAAATTCTCAATCGTGTAAAATACAGTGGTAATGATTGGAAAATTTCAAGAGACCGTAAAATTGTGCATTTTTTGTGAGGGGGGTAGCAATTCTAAGTCCCTAACTTGATACTTGAGTATAATAAAAGAAAAAAAATAATAATAGAGCTGGCAAAAATACTGAGTTTTTTCTTTGATTGTGGCGAAGCAGGCGAGGGCTATTAGTCTAATGGGAGGGATTCCTTCA